ATAGGATAGATTTCTAATATGTGGTTCTTTTTCACACATGTATATATCTATTGCGATTGCCTTAGCGTGCTTTGTTATGCTTCATTCCATGTCGTTCAATGCCTTTTTTAAGGGGAGATGCTACTCGAAAAAGGTTTTTTTTTATTTCATAACCCAGCTCCTTGAAATTTTAGGTGTTAGTAAAGCTTGCAGTGCTGATTTCATAACTGCAATTATTTGTTTGATAGCTATAGTAGTTCCGGAGTTACTACAACTTTGATATCAAAATATAGTGTTTTTTGTGCACATAATAAAGCTTACTAAAAATTTTCACACAGAATTGCAAAATGGCTCATTCTGCTGCACTTGAGCAGTACAATACAGAAAAGTACCTCAAACAGAAAATTTATTTGCTACATTAAAAAAAAAAATTAAAAGTACTAAATGCATATTTTACATCTCTCTATCAGTGTATCAAGTTGTGTAACAAAAAATCTGTGATGTATAATGCAACCTAAAGTAGATACTTGTATTCTAGAGTGGCTGATTAAGCTCTGTGCAAAATTTCATCAAGATAGGACTATTTTATGCCTAAAAAAGATTGTGCACAAGATGAGAGAATTACCTCAAAATGGAAATCGAGAAAAATGCATTTGAAAGTTGTAAATATGTTTACTCATGATTACACAGTGCGATTTGCACAAAACTTGGTGATATCATAGAAGAGACACAGCTAGAGCACCTAAAATTGTCCTGCTCCATATGTGGATCCTTCTCGCCGCATGAGAAGGGAGTCATCAAGGCGCGCTTTCTTTGCCACGTTCCGCCGATGGGCCCTTGCCTCGGCTGTTTCACACGCAGACATTCTTTCGATTCTCCTCTGGTCGCGGGATCGGCCCAGGGTGATCAGTTGATCTGGTGGGACTACACCAAGCTCTTCTAGCACGTGTTCAAAGCTTGAATGTCCTTTATTGAACCACAACACGGCCATAGCAGCTGCAGTTTCCACTGTTGTCCGGGAGGCAAACTTAGTCTTCGGACACAACAACCAGATTTTGCTGTTCAAAGATTCTGCAGCGTTTTGGGTCTTCCCTTGGACACAACGCACCAGCAACTTTTCATCTGTGAGCCGCTTGTAAATGGGAAGCACAGCCAATCCTTGAGCCTTGGTCAAGATTGGTGTGTGGTCGGGTGGGGCCTCCCCAAGCGCTTCAGCTCGCCTTGCACCAGGAAGTCGCCCCTTCTGGAGAGTATCGGTGGCTGCCTGCTGTGTTGCTCGATGATGAATGAAAATATGAGGCCCAGATAGCACGATGCATTTTCAGAATATCACCTCTGTTGTTTGTGATTGCAATACGGTAATAGTTCTGCAGCTTCTGAATTGTGCCATCTGTCAGCTTTTCCCCTCGTGGAAGTCTTGTTGGCAGTTTCCGAAGTGCAGTGCCTAGACGCTTGGCCACATGGTTTGTGCACTCCTCCTTGTCCACAACAGCTTCACCATATACCTTGGCCTCAGCGACAGTGGTATAAGCTTTGCTGTCCCCATCACTGAGGAACTTGGTGAAGCGCAATGGTGTTGTGTATGAGGATGTCCTGCCCCATATGCGCAAAGCTGCCTCAGTCTCCATGGCATGAGAGGAGCACTCTGTATTTTTTTCGCAGACAGGTGTGTGGAATGCTTGCCATATTTCTTCCTCATCACCCAAGTCCTGGTGCCGGCTACAGGCAAGGCAGTAATTCGATAGCACTTCAAAATCTAGGCACAAACCAGTGTCCACAGACACAGCAGTGCCGATGCCATTGTGGCTCTTGTGCCCTCTTTTTTGCCATGTGCCATCATACATGACAGCAACATCAGCCCCATCCACTTTCTCTTTAGTTATCATCCGCGCTTTCGCCAGGTTTTCTTGCACAGCTTTGGTAGCAGCAGCATGAACTTTTTTGCCGATTGCAATAAAAGTCTTATGATGCATAGGTATTGGCAGTCCAAGAATAGCGCAAAAACGCGACAGCTGTTCATGCCCAATGCCTATTGCACGCGCAGCCACAACTACCTTCACATTGACAGCGAAGCTGTCGCGCGAGCTGCCGCTTCGGTAGCTCCAGTCATCACCGGCATCGGTGGGCTGTCTTTCCGGCAGAACACGCCGCGAACTATGCGCGGCAGAAACCACTGACTCAGGACACTCATTGTTATCACAGTGCAGCTCGACGAACGAAGAGAGGCACTTACGTTTACTTGCGGTGTCGCGAACGACGAGTCCAGCGGTGTGGCATGTTGGACAAACAGCACGGCTTACCATCGATGTCAGTGCGCCGATGTCACAAAATACTCCGCTCACAGAGCCACAAACACTCTTCGTTCTTTCGCTTTCGAACTGTTCAATCTTTTTTTCTGATGCGCTGATGAACTTGATCGCGGCGTCGATTTCGTCAAAGTTCCCGCAAGCTGCCGTATCCCCGCTGCCTTGATTAGGCCTAGTGGCCCGCGGCTCGCATTCTTCTACCGCTGCTTTGCGCTTCGGTTTACGTCGACGCCCTTGGTACTTGTTCTTGCTTGCAAACTTTCGTGCTCGGAAGTCTCGCTTCTTCGAGTTATCCATGGTGAACTCGGAAAAACATAGAAACGCACGGCAAGTGCCGATCGTCGCAAGCGCTCAGCGAGCGAGGCCGATCAGATGTAGCCAATGGCGGCCTCGGTAGCGTACCATGTGACCGGTAGAGATGCGCGAAGCGGCTGCAGCTTGGCTGCAAACCGACTTAGAAACGACTGTTTTGTGAAATTCCTCACTAAAATACGAAACTAGGGGGACGCCTGTACACTAGAAGGAGCCTTGATCTACACCACCGAACAAACCCCGATGGCGGACGTCATCGTGTTGCCGAGTGGCGGATTTTCAAAAATAGCCGTCGGATGCGTGAATTCGCGACTTCGGCAGCTACCTTCACTAGCGCAGATCGACTTTTTACCACTTTCTCGTTTGAATTCAGCTATGACCTTTGGGGAAATGATAGTTGAATGATCAAAAGTGATTTTAGAAGCAATATCTCAAAAGTGGAAATTTTCGCAAAAAACGCGATTTTTCGACCCGCATCTCCCCTTAATCATCTGTTTTTTCTACTGTATTGTTGAATTTGCCACATCTTGCACAATTTTCTAGTTTTTGTTTATTACTAGTCTTATACCCCCTCCTCACACAATGTTCCAAACATAAGAACCCGTGAGGTATCTGTATAAATAAATAAATTAATTAATTAAAGGAGTACAGACACCAAAATTTTGCACCTGGTTTTTTTTATTATTCTAATTGTCAGCTTGTGACCCACTCATCAGGGCTGAAAACCTCATTTGCGCGAGTGCATGACGGTTGTTTATATAGAGACGTTTTTAGAGCATCAAGTCTCAGTTTCGGTTTCAAAGAGCACTGAGCTAGGCAGGAGCAGTTCCGGGGGCAAGGTAAATACAGCTGGCCACGTGTCCATGCAAAACTGCGGCCGTGTCCGCCATGTGCGAGAGCATGGACGAGCGGGTGCCACACTGACAGCCAGCACACGCGAACCTGCAGGTGCGTGCCAGCAACCAGCCAACGCAAACTAGGCTATTTTTGCCCTTGATATTTCGCAGGTGTGTAGGTCTCCACAGAAATCTAGCTCACTCATTATCTCACCATCGAAATTTTGTGTCAGTGCTTCTTCAATAAACAAGAAATACTATCAACCAGGCATTCTCAAATTTTCTGGCCTTGCATCGTATAGACGAGCTCGAATGCTCACGTAGCCCAATAGTGGCAAGGAAGCAATGAAGAAAATAGACAAAACAGACAAGTGCACTGGCAAATCAGTGCTATAAAAACTGTGCCATAGGAATTCTGAAGTGCCATGGCCCACAAACAGGGCACTTTAGGTCCTCTTTGATGCCGTTCAAACAGCCCGATACCATCTCCCATCTCTTGGCTTGTAGGTTTTTTTTTTTTAAATCAATTTCCACATATAAGTTACAAAGTTATGACTGCGCTTGCGAGCGAGAATTTCCAGTGCTTCATGTGTGCTGTCACCATGGGTCTCCAGACTGCACAAATTTCATGGTGCGCACTATGACTATCAGTATCGAGCACCATTACCGCACCACTCTCTCACTTCTCACAGACTGGACACGATGTGTGATGGCTTGTTCTGACCACTTATGAAACACTGTAATGCCCTTCACAGGACCACTGGCATGAAAAACGATATATAACTAATATGCAGTCACTATCCAAGTTACAATAGCACGCAACATAAGTAGAAAAAAAAGTTGGAGGACGCTCGAGCATCGCCTTCAAGAGTAGAATCTGATAACGTAATTGGGCCCCATAAGCATCGCCTTCTTAACTGCTAGCCTGGCTTCGATACTCAGTGAATGTCTCAACCATGCTGTAAGAAAATGAACTGCGCACATAACATTGGCCATTTCAAGCTATCCTCGAATGTCTACAGGAAGTACAGTCGTTAAGTGCCTACTACACCCTAATCTTCCTTTTGAAAATCACCAAAAGGGCCCACTACGCATCCGTAAGGCAACCCATGAACATATGCAGCTACTTACTCTGTTGATGCTTTTGCAACTGATGATTATCAAGTATGCCTGAGCTTTTTGTAATGGGTGGGCCTTTCCACACACTCTTCGCACAAAATCCATGTTTTGATGCCTGGCACAATTTTACGTTCCTGTCATGCATTACTACACGCTTCAAAGAAACTCCTCCATGCTTGACATTCATATTGTGTTTTTTCCGAAGCAGTTACAAGCAATACAGTGGCTCTACAGTGGAACACCTGTTTGCCACGCAGATGGCCTGGGTTCAATTCTCACTCAGACTCAAGTTTATTTTATTTGTATCTTTCTCGATATTTTGGTCATGGACAAAACGATGATTTCTCAATCCCAACCAATAACGCCGACACCAAAATTTATGCGAAACGAGTTCTTTAACGCTGTCACGTTAAAGCTAGGTGTATGGAAGCAGAAAGCACCAACTCACCTTTACGCTTGTCTTCTTCTGCCTTGGCCTTGAGAATGTTGCACTTCATCTGGTCAGGTGGTATAGGCTTGGGCATGCCACTGCTCGTACCAGCCTTGGCCTGGTTATTCTTGACACCGCACGAAACCACGGTGACAGTGCCAGCTGCACAACAGTCCTTGCCACTACCACCACTCATTCCTGCTGAGCTGTTGCTGTTGCTTCTGTTGCTATTGCTTCTACTGCAGCTGGTCCCGCTTGCACTGCAGCTACTGTCCAAGGCCTTTAGCCTCCTACTCAGCTCCTCGGCATCTACGGATGGACAAAAATGAAACAAAATACTATGTAATAATAAATCGTATGATGGCGTAACCTTCCTTGGTCTGTATCTTTTGACTTAAGTGAGAAATTGATACTTCGCGCAACCAAATTATTAAATGACAGAAAAATATTCAATGCAGGTTTTGGCAATGTACCAATTGATTCTTTTCACGAACTGCTAAATATTGAGGCAACGAGTGATTCTTAGAATTTACATAGCAATCATACCAGTTTTAATGTACGCCCACAAAATATGTGAGAACTATCTTCGTACTGCCCCTCAAGGAATGTCATACGCCTGCAGTAGGATACTCCAAAGATGACGCAAAGAGGCATAACCTTGCATAATGGAATGCATGAATGTTTGTAATATTACGTTGGGAAGAGTTACATAAACCTGCAGCACCAAACTAACGAGTCACAGAATTAAAAATTGCTGATGCTCAGGCTCCTATTAAAATTATATGTTAGTATAGGTCGGTATTTTTTCAGGTAAATAATTCGTTGTCGTTATTCCTATACAAGAAATTATATGACCTAACAGGTTTAGGGCTTAAATCCCAGGTATGCATGTCCTACAGCAGTGGGTGGCAACCAGGAGTAGCAGCGTCCTTGCTTCAAGCAGTACAAGTACTGCACTTGTGCTATTTACATTATAGCACGAGAAGTCTTGCGAATGATTTCGCTTCAGGGTCAGCAGCCTCTTTTTCTAACTGAGCCACTCATTATTTCTAAGGCAACCAAAGTAACCAGACAAAAATCAAGATATATGTATGTTTCCATTGGTTTCATTTATAGGTTCTAATGTCTTGAAATGACCTAGGGTAAGAGAGACGCTATAGTGGAGGGCTCTGGATAATTTCAACCACTTGAGGTTCTTTATTACACATAGACACCACACAGTACATGTGCCCCTGAGCTCTTCATCTCTATTGAAACATGACCACCGAAGCCAGGATCAAACCTACATCTTTCTGGTCACCAGCCAACCACTGTGAGCAGCACCGTGCATCTATGTGGTTGTATATTTTTGTTACCATCAGCTAAATACAGGAGCTATGACTAATATACTCTAAATACGTTAATATTATTTTAGAGCAACAATGGCAAAGGAAGTGGAAACAGCCACACTACTTTCAAGCAAAATCTTAGAATAGAAAACCTTGCAGGCAGTAAGCGATAGCAGTGTTTACCTGCTAGAATGAAAGTCTTGGCAGTGGCCTTATCTCTAGTCAGGGTATTTATGGCTGCTTATCTATCACGATAACTTCAGCTACATAAGCAGGAACATTTCAAATACATCTGTGTGAAACCAGAATTGCAAAGTATTGCGACATCTTACAGGTGTCCGGCAACACGCACACATACGGCTAAAACCCTATATCAACCAAAAAAAAATTGACGAATTCCAAAAAAATAACCTGGACGATCGCAATGGATTAGGCACATTGTTTTTTACCTGGTTCTGGTTCTGTAGGAAGGTCGCCTTTCTTGTAGACAGTCAAGTCATTTCTAGTGTCTGATGCTGAGCTTGTTTCCTTGGCAAGGGAACGAATGAGGGTGTCCAGCCTGTTTTCTGCCTCCCCAGTGGCTAAAACAGGGCTAGAAGATTGCACATCATCTGCTGGGCTGCACAGAACAAAAAAAAATTAGTTAAGTAAAAAAGCACTAAGCTTTGCAAGAAAAATGTGCTCGCTATCCTCACATGCTTAGCAAGAACCAGCAAAACCAGGATGATTAATAACGAGGACTGACAATGACAGAAAATTGTATATAACAGTGTTTCCTTTTTTCAAAGGTACAAGCCGGCTTTACAGCCTTGAAAGTACAGTCAAATCTCGTTAAATGGACTCTTGAGGAACCAAGAGAATCTGTCCCACTTAATGGGAGTTTAATTTACCGAGACCGATGTGCAGTGCTCATGGATTCAAATGCAACCTTTTTTTTTAAAGCAACTGGTATGCACGATTGCTCCAGATTTCATGTCATGTCTTGACAAATATGGTCTGTAAAGACGATGTTGGCTCTGATCTATGAATTCAAATCGAAATTGCACCAATATGACCCAAACCAACGACAGTACAAACGAGAGTATGCTAGTTACTAAGCCCCAATTTGTCCTGCTTCAGTCCGTGAGTACTGCTCAAGGTTACAGTCACAAAATTTTAAAAACCAATCGAATTAGAGGCAGTTATATTTAAGAAATGATTCTGTTTCAGCGATGTCACTTTGTGAGATTTTACTGTAGATTACAAACGCCTTTTTAGTGAGGTCTTGCTAAATCTTGACTTGCTTTTGATTGCGCATGGGTGCGGTCCACATATTGTGAGGCCAATGAACAGGCGGCAATGCTGCTTTTGTTCTTGCAAACGATGCACAAGTGGTCGCACATAAGTAGGTGGCCGTGAATGCTAGCACAGGCTCTCTGGGTCCTTTGCAGACCAAGCATTTGCTGCTTATGCAAATGTGACCGACTACTGCAGATTAGAATGAAAAAAAAAAAAAAAAAAAGATGAGACACAGACTTACATGTTCTCTATCAGCAGTGGTCCCACTGTTACATCCAGTGGTGCTACTGGGGCCAATTCCACGCTGTTCTCTGGATCTGCAGCATTGAGGGCTACACAGTTTGGAAGAGATGCGCGATGACGACTATCTCTAGTGGTGCGCCTCGAGTATCGCTGGCTGGGGCGCCGCTCAAACTGAACAGTACGCCTCGTGCGGTTTTTCTGCGTGGCTTGGAACTCTGTACGTCCACTGCAAGAAGAGAATTTAGAATTGTCCAATCAACCTTACACAAAATAATTGGCAAGCTCAATAAACAGCAAATGGAGAGAAGCTGAATACAGTTTCTAATAATTCCACATTTCTGTTGGTAGTGCAAACAAATCCTGAGTGCAGATAGAGTTAGAAATGTTCTTATCATGCTTCGAAATAGTGTAAAGATATACAAATTAAAAAAAAATTACAGTAATGCTCTCTGCCAGAACATGTACAGCACTCTTGCACAGGGTCTACCAAGGAATTAGAAGTCAAGCACCTAGCACACTTTTCAATATCTCTTTTCTGTCATTATTTACTCCCCTTACCCCCTTTCCCAGCACAGGGTGGCCAGCCAGTCTAAGAACTGGCTACCTTCCCTGTCCTTCCACTCATTTCTTTCCTCCTCCTCCTCCTAGCGCACTTTGCTCAGACAGTGCCAGCTTAATACACCTGTTCTGGCGGTGCCCCACATTACAGAGTGGCAAAAACATTAGGTCGTCCAAGCGGGATGCTGCCCTACACAGCTCGGATTGTGAGGCACAGCTATGGGCAGCCCAAGAGGCCTGTGTCACAGCAGATAGGCTAGGCCTATCTGTCACGACATGGCAGTAGCTTGCTACGTGCTAGTTCACGCATCGAAGGGACCTAAATAAAGGCATTTATCACATTCCATTCAGTAGAACCTTACAGGTTCACTTAAGAGGTTATAACATCACTAAAAATCAGTTGCTATGACACTAGCAGCAAATTTAAGTGTCATGTTTCAAGACTAGTATTATACTCCCGAAAACTTGCAAAGTGTTGCAACAGTCTCTAACCCCCTCATTAAGTACACACACAAATTTCACTGTATGTACCTGTATCGAAAACGGGAGCCCATGCGGAAGAAATTCTGCCGAGTGTTTGGTCCTCTCATGGTCTCCTTGAGCCGGAAGAAAGCATGGTGTTCCACAGCACATTTCCACAGGTGCTTTGCTGCCTTGGGGTTGTAGAGGCGGAACACAAACGTGTGTTCTTGCTCACGACCCTGCATAGATGGGAGTGTCGTTTTCAAGATAGCACATACACTATGACAAAGCAAGACAACACCTATGTTTTCTTTTGTATATCAAAATTTTTTTCCTGTACTTTATATCACTCATTCCAGCTTACAGCCACATTTGGAGGCTAACGGTACTGCATAAATAAATAATAAATAAATGAAAAGTTGAATTCAATTACCCTCTTCTTTCCAGACCACCTTTCACTTCATGCAACTAAAATATTCACTCTTCCAACCACAAAAATAAGATCAATAACAAATTAGTGGTCAACTTTAAGATAGCAATTTAATAATGTGATGGTTCTATGCATTTATTGCCAAATATTTACATTAAGAAAGAAAGAAACAATGTAAACAGCTTCCTCTAATGCAGATGCAGTACCCTTATTGCACAAAACAATTAAGTTCAATAATGCTGCCTCTATTCTACTATTAGAAATACACGAAAATGCAAACAAACATGATACCTCCTTTTACACGTATCCTTACAACACAGTAAATCATATGCATCAGACAAAAAAGAACAACACCAAAAATTCACATTATGCAGACTTAAACACATATTAGAATACTTTTCATTTCACAAACACTGATGAAATTCAATACATCACAGGAAACATTAAAAGACGCAATATTTTTCAGAAACTAGAGTGATATTTCCAGACTGAAGTGTACCAGATTCATTTTCGTGTGGGAGAAGTTCATGTTGAACATTGGCGATGTGCTTGATCACCAGTTTATACGAGCATCACAAGTACCATTTCCAAATTAAACAAGTAGCACATGACTGTAGACACAATTAAAGAAGCTATTATTATTCCTTTTTTTCCCTTCAACCCGCTGAGTGGCAAGTGAAGCATAGGCTGTCAATCATACAAAAATAAGGGACAAGAAGCATTTTCTGCTATAGCCTCAAGTGCAAAATGACAAGCACATTTGTGGACCATTTTTAGTCTCTTCAACAAGCATCTTTTTCTTTTAAACTGATCTAATAATAACACCATTTCATTATTAAATATATAGCCCGGCAGCCCTGTATAAGTAGCATTTAACTGCGTGGGTCATAACTAAAAGCATGTTACAATTCATGATAAAAGTTTTTCCTCACCTCGTCGTCATCCTCCACAACCACAAGTGTCAGCTTCTTACTCTTAAAGTCGAGCCGCGTAATTTTCGGCCAGAAGAAAAGGCCGATCTTGGTTTGCTTTTCAAAGACTAGAATGCCAGTTGGAGTGAGGCCTAGCGAGTATTCCTGGCCATCTTTCCCCTGGAAGGAAGGCACATCAAACATGGCAAAACTCAACGACAGAACCAAGAGTCCCGTCATACCTTTATCTGTCGTGTACTATCGAAGCCTTGCAAATGCAAATGATTATATGATGCAATAAATTTATTTATTTGTTGTACATGTTAGACTCAAGGAAGATTACAAATCTGAAAAGCACTTCTGATTTGACACATTGATCACGCAGTGATGCATCCCTCATGAGCTTAACTACTTATCGCAATGCCATTTGAAAAACAATGTTTAAGACTTTGCAATGCATTAAATTTGTGTGAAAGTTGTAATGCTAAGAGTAATGCTTAGTAAATTCATTGTACTAAGTACATCTAGTAATAAAGAAAGAGAGAGAGAGAGAGAGACTTACCATTACAGTATGCATGTCAACTCCATACATTTCAAGCCACTTAACCTTGCTCAGGTAGTTCATCTCAGCCTGAGCAGGTGTCTGACCCCTGTAAAAGAAAGCCGTGCATTGTTAATAAATCAACACGGTTTGTTATCAGACAGTAGCTAACCATGGCAAGAGGCATACAACTAGTATGTCACAGAGGGCATCCCGGTGGTTGCGGAGCATACTGTAATAGTACACGCTTCACCAATATGAAACTGAAATTGGCACAGAAGCAGCAAATATGCCCATGCTTTTTTAAAAATGTGCCAGTTAATGACTATGCTTTATGAAAATATAATGACTTGTTAAAGATAAAAAATTAAAATTTAAGGCCAGCCTAGCTAAAATATAAACTTCACTTGCTCTAGCACTGCACTTGGTTACATCGAAAGGCTAACACTTTAGGTGGCTTGGTGATGATTAATGTTTTTATGAATAGTCCAACTAAGGAGAGAAGGAACGAAAATGAAGACAGAGGCACGCCTGTTTATCTTTGTGGGTCGATTACTATCTTTATTTTGCATTAATTTGTTAAAATGTTATAATGCATTACATGTTTTGCAGAGAAAAAATTAAAAAGCAATATTACTATATTCTTTACTGAGAACAGAAAAACACAAAAGGAAGGCTTGCTTTATTTCATGGACTACAGCCATATACTGAGCACAGAAAAAGAGACTGCCGGTGCAAATTGTGTGCACATTCACACGGGAGAAGTACCTGTAGCAATGCAGGTAGATTACTCACACACTGAAACGTGACATTCTTTTCTAGTAAAAGGACTGCAAAGAGCAACTGTTCATGATAACTACATCATGTCGCCGCAAATGTGGCCTCCAAAGGTAATGTTTGCTCTAATGCACATGCCTGAGTCAAAATTACACTACTGTGACACAAAGTATAGATGCTGGAAAAAGTGCACTCATTACTTAGCCTTAAATTTTTGCATTCCAATCCGTGAGTGCAGTAGATATTGTTCTACCATTCAAATTCAATACTGAGGGCACACATCTAACATTGTAAACTAGTGGCTACAGCGTTGCGCTGCGGCACTCGAGGTTGCAAGCTTCGTCCCAGCCACAGAAGCCGCATTTCAATATAAACAAAATGCAATGATACTTGTGCACAGACATAACGAAAACACGACAGGTTCCAAGATTAAACTAGGTTGCAACAAGGAGTTCCAAGACAGCAAGAAAAGATTACATCTGGAGCTTCACTGATGAACTGACAAGTGGAAACAAGATTCACACATTTCTACAAGTTCTCCAATCAAAATCCAGCTCTAAAAATATCCTTCAAGTTTCAGCCAAAATATTTACTACCTACAAGGAATTCATTTTGTCCCAACAGTATCCCAAATTCATCTGGTTTTCGGAGAAATCAGGGCAAAAAACAACAGATGGCAATTTGTGTCAGCAAATCAATGCAGGATTTTTTTTTAATTTTACTCCTGGTTAACCAACTGAGCGACAAAACATACAATAGCCCATGATCAGGTGGTACCCAGTGCTTTCGAAATCTAGATGTGACACTGTGACCTGCTTGAATCAGACTACAATGTACTACAGTGGAGCAGACATTCGTTTCTCCACACGTGCACAACTTATAATTCTAAGAACCTCAGAGGCAGAGTACAAAAGCTAACTAAAGAAAAGAAAGAAAACTTACTTCAGCTCCTTAAATGCATTGATGATGTCCAGCTCCATATCTTCCGTTTGGTCTTCCGTGAACCTAAACTCGGAGACGAACTCCGGAGTATGCTGCTCAGGGTCATAGTCACCCAATTCAGCTGCAAAAATATTCACGACATTACAAACCTGTCAACTACGAGGAAGTAATGCAGTTGAACCCATCTCCTTAAAATATTCTCAATATATAAAAAATATTTTATAAATTATTACTTATATGCAGAACAATTTTGAGATCCACCTTCACGGACAAGTTCGTTACCGAACTGTGTTGCTCACAATCTTAATGTCACTAAAGCCATCTTAAGCGAATATTAGCGCGACATAAACAGGGACGGGAAAGAAAATACAAACTACAGCGCTGTAGTTTGTATTTTCTTTCCCGTCCCTGTGTTCGTCATGCTAATATTTAAGATGAAAGTGCACCAACTCGCCCAATTGTCTCTTCTGATGTCACTAGAGCCATTGGCCGCGAGACCGAGCAGAGTCGCCGCCTGGCGGCAACTGGCCGAAATGGTTCTAGAAGTGTGGATTGCTCCTTGCGTTGTCTGATAGCCACGTCGTGTTTCTATGTGCACGTATGTCATGCACGTTCTCAAAGTGTGGTTTGTCCGGCCTTGTCAGCGCGAGTGTAACTGCTTTTATTGTATGCCTGAAACGACCTGAAACGAAGTGCGAAAGCATTTGGTCTTTCTCAGCTGCTAATGCTTATTAATAAGATCGGTGAGAGCAACTTTCCAGAGGGCTGTTTATTGCCGTCGTATCCCCATTCATTCACCAGAATAATTTCACATTTTATAGCAACTTGGTTGAAAAAAAAAAAAAAAAAAAGAACGGGCTCCAGGGCACGCACTTGCGCGCGGTTGGTAGGTGTACAACTACGGCACTGTAGTTTATTGATCATGCTTGGAGCCTTAGTCGTGTTTATCTGGCCGTGGTACCACTACATAGAAATATTACTAGCACATAAACAGTGAGACTTTGGTAATTACACTGTACTTAAAACAGAGTTACCGTGCTCAACCGTATGCTTAGATTTAGGAAGGCTTTACAGAGCCCAGACGTTGAAAATCAATTCAGACAGCATGCCCTATATATAATGTCGTATAAAAAATTTCATCTTTTTTACATTGTTTTTAGCATTTGTGTGGCACTGTTAATGACTGACGAAAGGCAGTGGCAATTTTTGTTTGAAAAAAAAAAAAACAAAAAAACATGCTTGTCCCATTAACCAGGCCTTTATTGTAGCACCGTGATGCATGTAATCCATCAATGAGTTTTCTGCTGAACTCTTATATAAGATTTTTACTGGTGCAAGAACATGTGCGCACACTTAGTAAACGCAGTGCAGGGCAAAGCGCCGTCAGCCACTAAGCTTAACTGATAATAGACTTATCGACTGTCTCATATAGCATGGCGAACAGAATGAGAAAAAAAAAATCATGTGCCTACAAGGTGCGAACGGTGCTGCAGATATGCGGGCTTTCTACAATCTTTCTTTCTCTCTTTTTTGTAGTATGCAGATGACAGAGATGTGAAGTAGTTCAGTCACGCTACAGCAGTGCGTAGCAGGTGGAACACAAGCTAACCACATACAAACAACACAGCAAAGGCATGATTTAGTGAGAAAGCGTTAAGAGAGCATCCCAGGGCGAGCATCCCTATGAATGTGCTTAACTCAAGGGTAATCTTAACGTTGCATAGGAGTTGCGCACTGATTCAGTAGATAAGGGCGTAGATATTAACAGTAAGCTGTAGTCAACGCATTTTATCTGTCGACAATCGGCTCAGACCTGCACGCAACGAAGCGCCGCTGCGTGTATTTGTATACGCACCGTCAACCGCCTATCCACACTTTCCCGGGGCAGTGCTTGCCACCTATAGCCCAATCTCGCCGCGAATATACCCTGCACTCATTTAGCAAAGTGTTTTATATCACTGTTTACCTCTACAATTTTTTATTAAAAAACAATAACAAATTCTGTATTTTCTTGTGCTAAGTTTCCCGCTTATTCCAAATTTTTTATTACTATATACACATTTACAATTTAAAAGACACTTTCCTACTACAAAGACTAGTTTGCTTTGAGATATAACTGCTTAAATATATTATTACAACATGCCTGCAGGAAATCCAAGAAAGTGTAAGAAAATGAACTATTACATTTAAAGTAGTTAACATGCATGAATTGCTTCAAGGAAACAAACTAAAGCAGCTGTAGTATGAACGAGCCAGAGTGTCATTCGACACTATAGCAAGTGACCCAGCTTTGACTGATAAATTCTTCTTTGAGAACTGTACTGTTGTTACATTTGCCTCCACAAGTTCATTATCAGGACATAAAATGAAGGTCAAAGTCTAATTTTAAAATTTCATGTCAAAATCTCTGCATCCCAATGTCTTTGTTGCACCACAGAATTGTGAAGTCTTTGTATTTTGACCAAAATGGCTCAAATTTCCTAAAACTTGCATGTTGCATCTCTTAACTCCCAACAAATGCAATGCAATTAATTTTCACTGATAATGAGTTATGCAAGCCCTAGCAGTTGCAGTATTCAAGGAAAGTCTGTATGGGAACTTCAAGGCAGCGTAGTCACCAGCCTTTTTTTCTCACAGATTTTCTGGCCTATGATGCAAACCCTTTTAACGAGGGTAAAAGGGTTTAACTTACTAGCTACAGTGGCATCATTTTTCTCTTTAGTGTAAAGTGCTTAAATTAATACAGCTAAGTGTTACAGGTTGAAAGGTGTAGCTACGCAAATTGCTACACAGCAAGAGACTAGCACAACTTCAGAACAATCATGCAGACGTATGCAATGTGTGCGGCACACCTAAAAAAGGCAACATATAACTGCAATTCGCAACCAAGCTGCAACGAGGGGAAAAAAAAGAAAAGAGAGCTTACATTGCAGAGCATAGGCGCTCAGTTCGACTGCCGTCTGGTAACTGCACGGCAGCCTCCCAGAGAGGATGTCCTGCTTCAGTTGCAGGAAGAATAAATACCTAGAGAGAGAAAGAAAGAAAAGAAAAAAGAATGCAGGCGACGCTACGCTTGGGCGAGTGCTTGAGGCAGCACAATGCCTCCTTCCCGCATGCCTCAAATTCAAATGACAGACGGCTGCCGCTTCCCCCGCGTTACCCTTTACCGCGATCGCTTGCGCCTTCTCTACCCCTCAGCGCTCAGGAACAATTTGCAACAGGTCGCCCTCTCAGGCGTAACATTGTATTTCCGTCGTGCACCAAGTGATCCTGTCTCTGTTAAAAGATAGTGTTAAAAGTAGATAGTTAAAAGATTCACAATCATTTCTGTTTGTGCTGTGCAGTGCTTTTTGCAGAATCCTTCCGCTCAATGAGTAAAAAGTCAGCGAATTAAGAGCATGACAAGCCAATACAGAAAGAAATCCATTTTGATTTCTTTTTTCACAAGAAACAAACGCAAAATTGGAATCCTAAGCTATAAATATAATGTACCCAACTGTTCTTACATTATCAGAGCCTCGCATCCAGTATAAATCTCTTGAAATACCTCTACATTCTTCAGTATTATTTTCTGCATTCTTTTACCTGCCTAGAGAATTGCATTCCTCTCATTGCACCAATATTTAAAGCTTGATATTATCAATAGCCTGAAAACAGATATGTTAAAGGCATATACACAATGTACAGAAGTGCATGCTGAAATACTACAGTTAGCAGCTGTACATATGATCAGGAAGCAATAGAGAAATAATATTTTGAGCATTTGAAATGCACAAATAGCAGCATCACACAATTTCTGAATAGATTGCTGCATTCGGCGAGCCACCCTTTTGTCGCGCCCGCCAGAACGGAAGAAAGGCTGCCGCCTCATTTTGTGGAGATAAGGAGCAGCGCGAAGACGCCCTGCTGTTTTCATGTACTGGGTGGTGCATGGCTGAAACTACTCAACGAAGCACTGCTATCGTTAAGGCCGGCGCGGAGGTGCGACACGTGGCGTCGTTGTGCCCCAGGAAAAGCCAGCAATTCCGAGTTTCCGCCGAAGGTGAACATCGGACCACCGCGCTGTGCGTCTCTGACTGATGGGCCGCTGAAGCTCAAATCAGCACCACATGCCCAGACATTGGCCCTTCAGAGGCGCCTAGACCGCGACCGTCGTTCGACAAAGCATGGGTGGTCGGCCCTAGCGGCGAGATGACGGACTTTCACCCCGCTCGCTGGAAGCAAGATACGCCAAAGGAGGCAGCATCGCCGGGACCATACACGTGCTTTGTTTGTGTATGTGTGTATGTTGGGATCGATGCCGGCATAATGAACCTCGTGTGTACTGTGGGACCTTTTATTGGACAGTGCTGTATGAACCTATTCCACGAACTAGGGATCTATAGGGAAAAGGAGATTGTATTTAATCAGCCCTCGCGGGCTGCTTTGGGTGTTGGTTCAGACGGGCTTGTTCTATGGAGAGCCTTGCAATGTAGAGCTTCTCATTGTAGAGCTTCGGCTCGTGCCATGTAAATAATGTTAATAAACCTTCTCTACTAAGTTCAACCTCCTCCTGCCTCGACATCTCTATCCCTGATCTCCGGTGCTGCAGACCCCGGTCGCAACAAGACCCACAGAAAAACTTGCCTTTTTTTTTACATGTAATGTTTTTAGCCAGGATAATTAAAATTGTTGCTAACAGGTGAGTTCTTTAGCACTGAAGCACTCACAAACATTCTTGTTCCATCGATAAAACATCTTCTAACTAGAAAAAAAAATTTTTTGCACAGAGAGTGAGATGGCTCTTCACATAAATACTAAGAATCCTGCTTATATGCTTTTGTAGGATGCTGCCACCAATAGGTAAGGGTATCGAGGACAGCAAGCCTTTAGGAGCATTGCGCTGCTGTATATATCATTTAACAAAATGAATCTTTTTTCTCTGCCACTTTTACACTGCACCTCAAGACTTTTTTTTTTTTTCTCAACACTAAACTTGTCACAGGTTTTCTTCCATTCTGACAGTATGATGTTCCCAACTCTTAGCTCACAACCCAACAGCTCGTGGTTAAGAAGCTCATTACTTTATGCCTATGGCCTGAAAACGTGGAAACATTTGCGACAGGAAGCCAAAGCTTCAAATACAGACAGAAGCACTTCATTTCAACAAACAAAAGAGCAAGATCTGTGTTGTAGTCATTAGTGTGAATTTTCAATTCCTAGAGTTTTTTTTTTTTTTTTGTAGCTCTAAAGCTGTCTACAAGAGACAAAAAATTCAGAACCTCCTAAATGTTGCCACTTGAGGCTTACTTACTGACTAGAACTGCTCATTTGAGTATACACAGCATTGTTTTGCACATATTTACAGCAAAGTAGGTTGCTGTTCTCAATGTAATTAAGTTTTTGATTAACTGGAGACCACAAGATCAACCTTTATAATTATAATTTGCCAGGCAGCAGGCTGCAAATGTAATTACAATTTCAAAAACATCACCAATTTAAAAAGGATGCTCCCTTTTCAGTCAAAAATAAGAACATCTTAAACCTCAACTTTTTTTTTAATTTTGAAGAATTGAAAGGATGAAAGGGTAAACTTTATGAAAATAACACCTTTTTTTGCTGTGTGAAACTTGAACTTGAGTTTGATAGAACTGAAGAGTTCATAACTACACCTATAGATGTCACATAAACAGAGGGAGAGAGAGAGAAAAAAAAACTTTATTAAAACTAAACGAACCTCGGTCCGGATCCACTAAAAAAAAAAAGGCCTATCCATCAGACAGGCGTAGAAATGTGATCTATGTAATTCAGGAAGGGACAAAAAAGAAGTATCACCAGTTTGGACAAGTGCATAAATCAAGAATGAATCAGTATTTATTTGTTTCGAGAACTGTTCTGCTGAGCACTAAATTGCAAGTGATCGGGTAACTACCGTTACACATTACCAGTAAAGCCATTCTGAACACATCCCCCTCTCTATTCTTTCCCAACACTCTACTGCCCCCGGCTGCATTTTCGATGGAAGCGAAAATGCTGCAGGCCCGTGTGCTCAGATTTGGGTGCATGTTAAAGAATCCCAGGTGGTTGAAATTTCCAGAGTCCTTCAATACGACGTCTGACATAATCAAATGGTGGTTTTGGGGCGTTAAACCCCCCATATCAATAATATCAATCTACTGCCCTCCTTCTACAACCTCTGCAGAGTGTCATATAAAATCAATTGCTCATGATAAACAGTTACAGTGCAACTGTCTATCTATATTGCAGTGTGAGTTGCAATTTATTTAATTTTACCGTTCATATATATGTATGCAACAAACCCTTTCGACACCAAAAAAAAAAGCTACAACCAAAGCAAATGGCAGAAAGAAGCAATGTTTAAACCTGGCTATCTTATAAAGTTATGTTTGAAGCACAATACAAAGATTTTTAGCATTCATAACCATTACTAAAGTTTTATTTTTCATCTTACTTAACCTCCACCCAGGCTAATAAAAACAAACAAACAAACAAAAGAACACTGGTGAATTCAGCCTTTTATGGTAATGGACATATAACACCTAAACCCAGTTTTTCCCTTTGAATATTGGAACTGACCACACTGTCATGTGCTGCTTTTTATGATACTAAATTTACACTCAACATAGCTTCTCTCTTCAATTTCTATTATTGCTTTTCCTCAAGAATAGTACTGAGAAAGGAAACATTTTCTGTCATCCTTATCAGCACCCTCTGTGGTAGCAGAACAAACTTTCAACAAATGCTAGTAATGCCAAGAAAATGAAGGGAGAAAGGCCATGAAGAAAGGTAAGAAACAGAAAAAGGTGATAACCAAGTTTGGAGATGTTATTTTATAAATGTTTTTTTCCCCTTAAGTATGTTTAAAAAGTGATTTTTCCAAAAGTATGTTCAAAAAGTGATCAAACAGATCCCACACACCTGGTCAGCTCTTCACGCAGAGTGTTTGGCTCTGAAGAGTAGAACTTCACTTTCAAATGCAACGTGTATGGAGGCCCAACTGAAAATGAGTAAAGGTTTGTATGATGAACAGAGAAGCACAACACTATAATATCATGTGACCATGCGAGAATGTCACAATTTGAATTGGGAGTGTTATAAATGTCGTTTTGAGAGAACAAGCAAGAGAGTGATCTCGTTTCCATAGAACATCTTGGGGATTCAGAGACACGGGCAACTTTCCAAGCGGGTGAACGACCATATTTGGTAGACACAATGAAACTTTGCATTTAGAATGCCCAGTGATTACAGCTATGAACTTGCCAGCTTAGGTTCCCATTAACATTATTGGAAGTAATGCAATATATGTAAAACATCAGGAAAGATTAAGAGCAGCACACGTTTTCTCACACAATATGATATGTCTGGCTATGATACAGTTGAATTATTTGAATAACGTGCTGAAACAAAAAGTTTGCTGCAGATATAACATTTTTTTTTCATTATGCTTTGATCAAACACCTAAAGCACATGTAGCCTGGCGAGGAGCAGGTTGCTTGTCAAGTTACAACAAATGCCTTGAGGTTTGAGCGGCACAATTGTCTTCAATGACCTGATTATACTATATATATATATATATATATATAAGGGAAAGAAGTGTATACTTAAGGGCTCGTTTCTGCGTGTTTTGACACAATATTAATGAGATCTAACAAACAATAATGCCAAGGAATGTATAGGGAAAGTTATTAGAACCAATGTAATGTAAATAAGAAGAAACGTGGGTGAAAAATAACTTGCCGTTCCTGCTCACGGCAAGTTATTTTTTCACCCACTTTTCTTTCTTCTTATTCACATTACATTGGTTCTAATAACTTCCCCTATTTATTTCTTGGCATTATTGTCTGTCAGATCTCATTAACACATATATATATATATATATATATATATATATATATATATATATATATATATATATATATATATATATATATATATATATATATATATATATATATATATATATATGCAGCCACAAATAATAAACTTACTCTTGACTTGCTTCCGAACTTGTTTCGTGACATCAAGCCAGTGCTGCAAAGAGAGAAACAAATTCCAAGCGATTACTGCACTAGGTAGCCACTATAAACGGCACATTGCCTAATGTTTTGATTACTACGGTGCACGACTCATTCAACCAGACTCCAATTTTACTAAGGTAAAAATGTAGTAGACGAACAGTACCTGGACGTGGAACGGATCCGTGAATTGTAACCCGAAGTAATCTTTCTCGATCAAGTCAATATGATAAAACACTTGTTCTAAAAGCACTGATCCAAGGGCCTTTTTCTGGAATATGGAGAAAAGAGAAGGACAAGGGGTACGTGAAAAAAAGTATATTAACTTTAAAAAATAGCATGAAATATGAAAGGCATTCGATGTAAATGCCCAGCAGTGAAATCAAAGTAAAAGCTCCAGCGTTTCTCTTAATGCGAAGCCGTGAAGAAGAGCCGAAGGATCGGAGTATGCAAGGCGATCCGAGTTCGCAAATAACTCGTCAATAACAAAGCTCTATTGAAACCACCACTGCTCCTCGTTTCAACGGAAATGAACGGTGCACTGCGGCAGTCCTTGACGCACGCGGTGATGCGAGCACGGTGGGAGACGCGGTGATCGCTATCTGAGCTTTCGAAATGCGCCGTCGAAAACAACGAAAAGCTTCCACGCGAGAAGGCTTGCTGCAGAATGTGTTATTCTGCCGAGCTACGGAACGAGAGCAGCAGTTGTCACGTCCATCGCCCCCCGCTACGTCGCGCAACCTAAAACGTTGGCATCGGGAATAACGCCGAAATCGGCAGTTGCCTGACAACTGATGCGACAAGGGACGAGCAACAATGCGCGCGGTCTTCTCTGTTTCGTTCAAAAAAGTGTGCTAACTGGTAATCTTACGTTATCCTCTTATCGCGGTAACCCTTGTGCTATGCTATTGCTTTCGGGTGCGATTTAATCCACACAAGGCTGTCGCATACCGTCTACAGCCACCTGTTAATGCAGTCGCCATAAACGTCGAACCACGTGTCACCTCGTTCCACATCTGCAGATGTTGCGAAGCGAACGATCGACACACGAGAAAAAAACGAAATAATCGCCCGAGGGAACGGTATGCATCGTCGCGTTTCAACAGCTGGAAATCGGTGCCTTACCAGCGATCACCGACCACCCGTTCCGATCGCGTGCATGACGCGGAGATTACGGTGAACGCACCTGCCCCGCCAGGTGTTCAACTTAAAAGGCGGAGAAAGAGCGTGGGAACGTCCGCTAGCGCGTTGATCGTTTGTTTTTCTTTTATAAACTAAGAGCATCGGTGAATGTTTGTTTCGCTGAGTATATACCACGACGTCCTCACTATGGCATTACATGCACTTGAGACAAGCTAGGGGACGCGCGCGCTGCGCTTTGTTCAGCGGTTATTTAACCGCAGGCATTTAAAAGCGGAGCACAGCGCGCGAAGAAAACGTACACACACAAAATGCAAGCCCCGCAAGCGGCGTGAATGACATCGTCACCGGTTGCTGTCGCTGCAGAGAGCAGGGCGAAGTGCGGAAAATGAACAAACAAAAACTGCGGCGCGGGGCAGGGAACGGGCATGTCTACGCAGGAAAAGTAAAGAAAAAGCTACAGGCGGAGAGGCGGCGAGGCCTAGCTCACCGGGACGTCGACGCTAAGGTCAGTGCCGTCCAGTAAGACCACTTTGCAGGGCAAGACATTCTTCGGAGACGGTGCGCCCGCCTTGTCGGCCCTGGCTTGCCTACTCCAGCGCTTGCTCAGAAAGCGGAACATGTCGTCGCGCGCAGGTATCCAATGGGTCGTCTTCGCAGTCCTCCTAGCCACAAATCGAGCGCGCACATATCACAACCGGCGTCGGCACGTTGGCCCAGCGTTGGTCATCCGAATGAGCACACCACCAAGACACGGGAAGCACCACAACAACAGCAGCACCGTGACCCCATCCGGAGCCGAACGCACACAACACACTCCACCCCAAGGCAACCACGGCGGCGAGTCGGCGACTGCTCGCTACCTGCGCTGGTGCCGTTTTCCACCGGAGACGGCGCTTGCGGCGCTCCGGCAACAAACCAGCTTGCCTGCTTGCGCTGCTGCTTGCTTTGCGCGCACGCTTCTCGCTCAGCCAGCGACGGCGGCAACTGGCGCATGCGCGATGGACCCCGCGTAAACCGGAATTTGACGCCGTTTGCGTTGGTTTTTCTCGGCGCTTGCTTTCTTGCTTGCGACGTGCGATGGTCCGGCAAGGCAAGCCACTGCTGCCGCGTGGATTTGCGGGAAAGGCGCGACCTCCGTCAGCTCTCACTGCCTCTTCCGCGGTTAGCAGCCAAGTTTGCGCTGGTCTTCACTTAATTTTCCCAGGTCGCGTAACTAAGCCCGCCGTCATGCTGTGAAATCTTCATTCTGGTGCTTTTGCTATGTCAGAACCACGATATTTCCATTGATTGATTGATTGATTGATTGATTGATTGATATGCGGGGTTTAACAGTCCCAAAACCATCATATGATTGTGAGAGACGCCGTAGTTGAGGGCTCCGGAAATTTCGACCACCTGGGGTTCTTTCTTTAAACCCCAGGATGGTCTCAGGTGGTCCCAGGTTTCGAAAAGGAGACAGGATACATAGTGTGTCGAAGTCGCTTCGCCTGTCGTCACTCTGCAGGTTGGTTATGACATCCTGGGGTACATCTGTGGACACCTAATTATGTAAATATATACAGGCACTTGAGCATTCTTGCATTGTGTCGCCGTCAATACTATCTCAACCAGCGGACGGTATCTGACCCACCACTTTAACTGTTAAATTATTATTCGGGCACCTGATTGATATGTGACCTCCCATATCAATCAATTACCTCTATTATATTTTTCTTGCCTGTTTTCTCGCTTACGAAGTATTTGCTTTCTCACCCTGTGTGCAAGTATCATGAACGTGACGCGTAAGACATTCCTGACCGGAAAGAATCGTAAACGGAGTTTTAAACAAGTAAGGCGCGCAAAAAATAGATCATTATATATATTTTTTTAATTATTAGGGCGTAAGCTGACTGTTCGAATATTCTCTCCTATCACATACATCGGAAAGCTTTCAAGATACATTTGCAAACGCCGCTTACATATCAGATTATGCAAGTATGACCAAAGCGTATGCGAATTCTCTCAACTCAGGGGGTGTCTTTTATCGGTGCCTGTCGTATGGTCGACTGTTGACCGAAAGATCGCAGGATCGAATCCCGGCCGTGGCAGCCACATTTCGATGGAGGCGAATGGTAGAGGCCCGTGCACTTAGATTTGGGTGCGCATTAAAGAACCCTATAGGTGGTTGAAAATTCCGGAGCCCTCCTCTAAGGCGTTCCTCATAGTCATACGGTGATTTTGGGAGGTAGAACCCTAGAAATACGGACGGGGTCTTTCATCTAAGTAGCCTTCCTTTCATTCCAAGCATTTTCTCCTCTATGCCAAATGGCAGGACCGTACGACGTCGCATCTTCGAGAAGTAATGTTTCCCACAGAAGTCCACTCGCGCTTTTATTCACTTATTATCGCTAAATTTCAAATCAATTCAACAGTACGCATGGTGTGTCGTCAGTCGGAGGATAGACATTCCTTCCGCTTCCCATCTTAGTCGGCATCCAGGTTACCGTACATGTATGCATATTTTATACTGGTGACTTTTCTTTTTCGAGGGCATTAAGCTCATCCAATCAATCAGACGCGCTATCGGAGTTTGTACGTAATTGATATGTGGGGTTTAACGTCCCAAAACCACCATATGATTATGAGAGACACTGTAGTGGAGGGCTCCGGAAATTTCGACCACCTGGGGTTTTTTAACGTGCGCCCAAATCTGAGCACACAGGCCTACAACATTTCCGCCTTCATCGGAAATGCATCCGCCGCAGCCGGGATTCGATCCCGCGACCTACGGGTGAGCAGCCGAGTACCTTAGCCACTAGACCACCGCGGCGTGGCCCCGAGTTTGTACGTATACGCTTAACTTTGTAAATACAGGCTGCATTTACTTTTAGATGTGAAGCTGCTCTTTGGCTAGCCTGTGTAACGCTGTCCCTCCGTACAACCCGACTGCGCCTGCTCGCGTTTCGTGCCGCATGCTCACGTCTCGTAACAGTCTAGGTGGTGTTGCTCGTGCCGACCCAGGAAAACACCCGCAAAACTGTCGCTCCCCTCCCTCGCCTCGCAAGGCTGACGCAGGCAGCGTCTGCTAGTAAAAGACGACTGCTCACGCTGCACAACCACTCGCTGGCTACCCCTTACATATAAGCACTGGATCGCGCGAACGGAATTCACTCAAGGGCGTCTTGGCTGTCGCTTGATGAGCGCCAGCGTCAACGCCGCCGCCACTGTAAGTGTTAGCGCCCGGTACTTCGCATCTACACATGGTCCCTTTAGCGGGAGATGGTCCAAGCTTTCTTTTTTAATGTTTACTCTCAGGCATTGCAACTGAAAGTAATTAATCGAAGTGGTGTTCTTTTGTTTCATATAAAAGAATATACAGCGCGATACGGTGACGCATATAGTATATACGAACGATCATTACGGTCTCTTGCACTGCAGCCTCTCAGGACAGTTCATATCGGGCAGTAAGTGCTCGAAGATAGGCTGCCTGGTATGGATATATATCTGGTGACTCACCCCGTCCCCCGTTCCTTCCGCCCTTTTTCTCCCCTCGTCTTCGCCAACATCTCTCGAGTGGGCGGGCTTTCTTTCGATAAGGGGCTCGTCCATTTTGGTTTTGCTCATACATATATATACGTTCAAGGGAATTCCGTCCTCCGGCACTTATCTTGTTATCGCTCGCGTGTGCCCTCATTGTGAGCGGCAGGTAGATAGCGTTACTTCCTCACACTTGTGCGCGTTCTTGCCTCTGCTGGCTGATAAACGCTGGCCTTATCTCTGCCTCCTTCTCCAGTTCAAATACAGAGTTGCGTGCGCCTAAACTCTGTGGTGTGTGACGAGAGTGTGTTGGGCCCTTGGCCTGACAGCAACAGTGCAAATGTTGTCATAAGAGTGGTTGTAGACTTCTTAAAAGTAACTGGACTATATGCATGGATATAACATTTTCTCAATTTGAAACGACCGTGTATATACTCGCCTCTCTACCTCACCATCGTCATCTGTTACTCTGTTTCCTCCCCCTCCACCGGGGTATAGAGCATGCTATATGTATACCGCTCAGGCCAACCTCGCTGCATGAATTTCTGTGAATAAACCGGCCTCTCTCTTAGGTGTGACGGGTGAATCATCCAACAGTTTTATTTATTTATTTATTCATTTTTAACAGGTAAGTTGTGTATGCACATATGGCTAGACAAAACCGAAATTTGCTGTTCCATGTGCTCAAGAACTCATGTGCATGCCACAGAAGTTGGGAAAGCCAAGCCACACTACATATTCACAACCCTCATTCACTAAAAAGAAAAAAAAAGCGAACACACTGGCGGCGAACACCAATTAAGATTTCTGGACAAATTAAATGCGAAGCGTTTCTTTGCGTACCGCAAGCACTTTTGGCGTCTACCTGCGTATCTATCTGGCTATTATCCATCTAGCCACCTACGTCTGGATGCTCTCATGATCACCCCCTTAACTTCGAGTTCATCGAAATTAGTACGGGAGGGTCCAATGGTTTGACGAACACGACGCCTTGATCATGCATGACATGAATAATGTCACAATCTGGTAGCGTACTTTGTCAAACACTCTCCAAGTAACAGTGGCATATACTGGGGTGGGTATCTGCCACTAGTATGCGTTTATGTTTCACAGGTGATAGACATATACCTAGGAACGATGAGAACACACAAGGGTAATCTTAACGCTTGAGCGTTAAGAAAAAGCTGACATAGGTAGCATTGACCAGACGAATGCAAAGAATAAATGACGGTGTCCCAGCAGGAAACGAACCCTAGCATTCCGCGTTGCAATTAAGCATTCTACCAAAGAGCCACACCAGGTCTCGGAAATACTTTGCGAATATACCCTAATGTTCGTGAAACGTCAATTCTGGTTACAGTACTAGCTATCCAATTTTATAAAACATTATATATGTACTCCTATAACATACAGCCGTCATGTCGTGTTGACGTCAATTGCAGTGACGTGCCATACGCTGAGGTTGATTTTCGCAGCAGTGTTGAGGGCTACCATCCTCGTGAGGGTGGTGGTAGTGGTTAGAAGATGAGAAAAGGCACCTAATTTCTGCAACCCGGTCGGGAGCACAGCGCAGTGCCTAGCCCTCCTCGTTAGCTCCAGCGCAAACATCAGCGCTTCATACCCGCTTACCCCTTCTGGGGGTTCTAATATAAAACATATGCAGCGGTTTGACGTATGTGTGTTCGTGGATTTGTACAAATACTGAGCGCGACTTCATAGCGCCTCGCTCAATAAAAAAAAGTCGAAACACATTCACCTTGCATCCGCATTCTTCGCATAACATCGATTCCCAAGGTATACGTGGGATCTGCCGAATTTTTCATCCAATATTAGCGAAAGGCTTTAATGAACTATCGGGATTAATCCAGTGGCAAACACCAAGACTGCACCTCTCACCTTCATGCATATAATTAAGCACCTCTATAGAGTGCCTGGTGCTCGGGCGATAATTTGTTGTTGCTGTTATTTTTGGACAGGGTAATTTGCAATAATCGGATTAATACGAGAGTAAGAAACTCCATATTTCCCACCAACCTTATCTTAAGTTTGCCTTTAAGTGCTTTTGTAAAAATTATCGTGTGCTTCCGAACATCGTGGTTTCAATACGCACATTGAAACTGCGGAATTCAAGTTGTAATGCTTTCCGAGCCCCGCCGTGGTGGTCTAGTGGCTAAGGTACTCGGCTGCTGACCCACAGGTCGCGGGTTCGAATCCCGGCTGCGGCGGCTGCATTTCCGATGGAGGCGGAGATGTTGTAGGCCCGTGTGCTCAGATTTGGGTGCACGTTAAAGAACCCCAGGTGGTCGAAATTTCCGGAGCCCTCCACTACGGCGTCTCTCATAATCATATGGTGGTTTTGGGACGTTAAACCCCACAAATCAATCAATCAATCAATCAATGCTTTTCAACACATTCCA